GGGACACGTCGGGCTCTAGGTGTGGCCGCAAAGCGAGAGCTTCGGGTACGTGCCATTATTGTTCTTTTTTCCTTCTTCAGCCATATCGTAACTGCTTTGTTTTTGCATTTTGCTGCTAACCGGGTTAGCCCACTGGAGGGGCGTTTAATGCTTTACATAACGCCCAAACCAGGAAAACGCTCTGGCAGTTATTACCCAACTGGTTGTATCAGTTGGTTTTTTTTTCTTTCCTTTGGACTTTATGAGGTAAGAGGATAAAATCTTTGTCTAAAGATTTGTGCAGCATTTTCTTGGGTCTGTATAATACTTGTAGGGAATGGCTAAACCAAAGAATTCCTCTAATCAGTTCGGGGGTTTTGATAGTTTGTCACAATGTCTCGTATCGGATCCTCTGAGTTGCCAGAAGGGCCTTTCAGCAGGGCTCTTATCCTGGAAGCAGCAACTGTAACACGCGTAGGTTGCAGAATCCCAGTTAATGAAATGAGGCCAAGCAAGGGCACACTGGTCTGTAGGGCAGATGGCTGGTTTGGCAAGACCCAGTGAACACACTAATGTGTACACTGGGACCACTTGATGGCAATCCTGAAAAGTGGGTAGGTGATGAGGCACAGGTTACAGGAGGTGGAAAGATGGACTCAGAAACTGCTTCTGAGGTGTTAAAATGTAACATGGTTGGGGGGCAGAACAAAGTGAAAAGGTAGTGAGAGATAAATGTGTATTTAATGATTAACAGGAGGGCTTCAGTCCTGTATTTGCTAACAATGTTAAAAAATGACCGTCAAGGAGTACATGTAATTTCTTCTAGGCACTGTCAACAACTATTAGCTAAGGTTACCTGTTCGTTTTACTTGAAGTCTAGCTAATTGTAATAGGTTAAGAATCAGATTGTTGTTGAACTTATGAGTGGGTGTATTTATATAAACTCTTGAGTAATATTTTTAGATTTAGACAGGATTTCTGATGTTAATATTCCTTTGATAAAACCTGTCATGTGTCTGAAAATGACACTGGTACTGGAGCAATAAGAAAAATAACCCAACAAGTTTTACTTTTGATTTAAATGGCAAAAGTTCAGAAACTAAATCAGGCCTTGATTCAGAAACAAACTAGAGTTGGATTATTTTAGTTTCAGTAATCCTAGATATAGTAAGATTCATTAGGAAAAAAATATGGAGAAGTGTCTTTCTAGTGGAATTTTACATCCAGTAATGCTCTTTTTTATTTCATTGTTATGGTTTAGATACCACAAAGAGGAATAAACTTTGGGTTTTATTAATAAATTATCCAGAGCCCTATAACCTCACCAGAAATATCTCTTATTGCTCATGAAGGAAGATGAAATACTCAGACTTCTAATGTTGTAGTGATGTGACCATGTATCCTACAACTGCTTCATAAATTAGAAGTTAATGTCATCTGTATATTCCCTCTCTTGTCTTTCTTGGGTTGAACTATTGTTCACCTGCTGTGTTTCCAGTGTTCTTTTTTGTATGCTTTAACTATGGTGGAAACTCTCCCATTGTGTCTTGAAGTGTTTCTCCTGTGTTTTTAGTCAGGTCAAGTGTACTTTGGCAAATGTAGTAATTTCTCATTTGCCAAGTTCAGGAATGTGGTCTTTTGCAGGAGCGTTCAGGTCACATTTTCCTGGTGTGCTGTTTCTCCCACTAGATCAATAGATTTAATTTTTAAAGTTTGAGTAAATTTCTTTTGAAATTTAAAATTTGAGTAAAATTTCTTTCTTACTGCTGTTATTTATAAAGAGCACATAGACTTTCCTGCACTTACTTCTTTCATGGACCTCCTGTGCTGTCAGTTGTGAAACTTTCAGGTCCCAGTGTGCCATGTGCTTCTCAGAACTCCAGTTTCACCACCTCTTTCATCCATGCTTATTCTTTACGCAACTTGGTGGGACTTGCGCTGGATCCCTAAATGTGTATCTTCACTTCCATGTCGTCTTCATGCTTTTTTTATTTAGGAAGACTACTTGAAAACGGGTTCTTTGTTGTTTAACTATTCATCCATTGCCACTCTTGGATTCATGGATGCAGTAAATGTCAGTGATTCAGTCGTTTTCAGAACAACCTGTTGGGATATCATAGGGGTCATGATTTAAAGGAAATAAATAGCAAATATAGATGGATTTTCAACAACAAAGATACTGTTTTCCTATAAATATCTAGAGAGCAAAGAAGCAGGAAATAAGAGATCTTTGCATGCTTGCAGTTAGATCACAGCTGATTTTTATATCCTTTCTCTTGTTTTGTTTGCTACTCATCATGTGTCTGGGGTCGATTTGGAGACCTGATGTAAAAGATGAAGGCATATAAACCTCCACTGGCATATCTAAAGTCTGTTTACTTAACCCCAAAATTTATGATATATCCCGGTGTACTCACAGTCTTCCTTCTGAACTCTAATTCAGAATGAAAATGGGGTTAGTTTGGCCTGTCGTGTTGGTTGTTGGTTTTCTTTTTAGTTTGTGGTTTGTTGGGGAGGGGGAGATGTTCCTTCTCTAAAAGGTTTTGTCTTAGAGTTTAAGTGTAGTTCAAATGACATTTCAACAATTTTGATCTTGTTCTACACTCAGAACAAGTTGAATTTGCAGTTGAACTTCTACTTCAGGATTCACAGACTATGCTCACAAGTGACCCAAAATATGATTACCAAGTGTAAGTTTAGTCATTGGATGCTGTTTCATGCTTGCTGCTTTGTATATGTGCCGCGTGATTTGCAGCTGAGCAGACCCCAGCAGCACATGTTATGTTAAACAGTATTGCATGGACAAGAGCTAATGTTTGAGAATTTTCAGAAGTTTCAGAATAAGATTATTTTTATTGTTCTGGTTTGATACATTTTTATTATTATAAATTGCTTATATCCTAATAGGTCATTGGCCCAGTCAGCTTATGGAGAAATAATTAGGAGAGGATCTCAGTACAGCCTAAGGAATGGCCTTCCTCCGGGAGAGTAGATTCAGTGCCTATCTTCTGTCTCAGCCATCTGTATTCCATTACATTACTGTATTCCTCTGGATTTCTCTAACATCTTTCTTCAAAACTTAATGATTTATTAATTTTTTTACAGTTACTAAAAGACAAGGAATTTTTAAGTAGAAGTTCGTGAAGGTACAGATTTTATCTTTATTGATGAGTCTCCACGTTTCTAGTTTTAGATACATGGAATTTGATTGGGAAAAAGGACCTTTTTTCCATGTTAGTTTTAAGGACAGCAATTCATTCATTTGCGTCTCCTACATGCTTTTCTTGTGTTACATGTCAAGGTATAAAAGCCAGACATTTCTTGTGCCCATTCTATAAGAAGATGCTAGGGTTTTTTTACAATATGTTGAACTCCTGACTTTTAATTTCAGTATTAATTTCCAGCAAATAATTATAGGTCCAAGTTGATAAGTTTTCAAGCATTAAACTACTGAGCAAAACAGGCTCAGCAGATTCTGGTAGTAAGGATGTGTGAAAAATCCAAGTCTCTTTAGCTTGAAGTTTGTGATCTGGCAGCATTTCCATCTGTCTTGAACTAACATGAATTTTAATTTTACACAATGAACTGCTACTGGGTGTAAAAGAAGTCACAGTGTGAAATGCTAAGATCAATGTGTGTTAAAGTACAGCATCTGTGAATACAAAGCTGCCCTTCTGGGACACTGCAAAATGATGTAACTGAGTGAAAAAGCTCTGCAAAAATATATTTCACTTGTTGTAATTGAGCATCTCTGCTGCAATACCTTAATGAGGCTTGAGTATGATGCTTTGTTGACCACACAGTGGGATTGTATCGTATGAAAAAAGCTGTTGACACTAATAGCTAGAACTGCTGAGGTTTTATTTTGCTGCTCTGCACCTGTGCTTCAGCACTGCTACAAAGAGAGGACACTAAGAAAAGCCTTTAATGCTTCTGGGGTAAGTTTGCCAAGAAATTAGCTTCTGAAAAATTCAGGTCACCCTTTTAAAATGCTTAACTGTTTGTGTACTTGCAAAAAGTTGATATAATCACCTGTTTCTTTCTTACCTTATCTAAGTATTCATATCCCTGTAGCAGCAACATGATGTCAGTTTAATGAAATGCACAGTGGAGTATTTTAAACTGTTTTGGTGAATTAACTTCTGAAACTACTGCAACCTCTTAGTTCTTGGATTAAAAATCTTGTACTGGTAAAAGTATTTGTTTCTGGGAATGAAAATGCCTTGGGCTGAGCCTCAGAGTGGAATTTGCATTTCAAGGAATTAGAGTATAGAGGTTGTTCTTTGATAAAGATGATGATGTTAATGAGAACTGAAAGCATGTAAGTAAAATTAAAGCACACTGAAGTAAATTTTTAGTACTTCTGCATTACTACCAGATTAGAAATGTTTGATAGTCATATCAACACACTGCTGTGATAGCAGCAATATACTGCTGATGAGACAAATCATGTACTAGGCCACCTTTGCTTGCCATTATTATCACTGTTATTCCAGACTAATGAACATTGAACTTAAAACTGCATGAAGTCAGCCTGTCCAGACTGTGAATGCCTTTGTGATTGAATCCTGTGTCAGACTGCACTCTCCATTATTACTTACATTGAATTTTTGGAGGAATATGACTACGTGAACTCATTTATGAGAAAATATGGCGGTTTTGTTTTGGCTTTGGATCTCAGTTGCTTATCAGTAACTTTAAAATACAGGTCACATATCAGCCAGGTCATACTACAGGACTTTAAAGTAGCTTAGTTTCTAAAAAAAGATCCCTCTTGGCTATGTTAAACTAAAACCATCAACAATAGGATTCAAGTGCTTCTTAGATAAATCAGTACCAGTTTGGAACAGGATGAGAATGCAATGTTATAATGCCAAGAAGTTGTTTGGTGGTTGGTTTTTTTTTTCAGTCCCTTCTCACTGCTTGGATTCCAGCAGGAGAATTTTCTTGACCTTGTGTCTGGGTAGTTCTTGAAGATGGCCAGCAAAGGACCCACAACTTCTACATCAACAAAGAGCTCCAGTACTGGGGGCACCAGTGGCAGCAGTAGCAGTAATGGTGCTGGGGACAATACTAATCAGGACAACACTTTCGAATGTAACATCTGCTTAGACACTGCGAAGGATGCAGTCATCAGCTTGTGTGGACATCTCTTCTGGTAAGTACTCAACCCGCCCCAGATAAACCAGAACACCATCTGATCATGTAAAAGCCTATGTTTTTTATACATCTGAGATGTCAAATAAAATGTCTTGTATAAAATTAGTAAGGACTATGGTTTTGGTTTAGGAGGGGCTTGGTTTTGCTTCTCAACTGTTTTTATTTGCTCATGTTCCAGGGAGTGGGTTTCTTGCATCTTAAACTTCCTCAACTTACTGTACTTCTGGATTATTTTGTAAAACAAACAAACAAGCCCGACATAAGACAGTCAGTGTTCACTGACAATGCTTGGTTATGCATGTTATTTTGTGCTGTCTGGTCTAGCATAGATATCTTGTTCAGACCTTAATTCCTTTCTAACTGTGCATACCTAAACCTGCATCTGAAATTAGGTTGTGGAGGCCAAATTGTAGTTCTCATGCTTCCTACAAGCTTGCTTTTTTTTCCTTTGAAACCATAAAAAAAGATAACAAGCTTTTTACATGTGGGTTTCTCTTTTCCCATGGTCTTGCAGTTGTAACACTACCTTTTCAGTTCTTTGGTCTGACATGGGAATGTATCACACAAATACAAGAAGTGCGCAGCATTTCTTATGTGGGTAACTTGGTCTAGAACATACTTTCTTGAATGTTAAGAAGTTATTAAGGATTGACATGGCCAGATGGGGTTTGGGGGGGTTAATTTTAAACAGTAGGCTAAATTGTGCTCTTTTTTATACAAGAGGCCTAAAAGAGCATTTATGTGTAAATGTATGTGACATCTGAAAATTCACATTCTTACTCTAGAAGGAGATGGAAAATCACTTGCTCATGGGATGTTAAGATAAAATTAAATTATTGTACAAAAGGATTTTAAAAAATGGAACTTTGAAAATCAGCATCTATCTTGTCTGAATAGTAGTGTCAAGACCGCTCTGAAAGCAGATGGCAGTTTCAGTTGCTGTATTGATTTAACCTTAAGAGTAGTTCTGTATAATGGGAATTCATCTGCCCTGAGCCGCTGGCTCTGATCTCGATACTTGACCCTGCTCTGAGCATTAGGTTGGATTGGAGGCCACCTGAGGTACCGTCCACCTGGAGTTATTCCATGGTTTTGTGAACATGGCTGATGTTTTAGCTTACTCTATTGTTTAATTTCTTATAAGATCCTGAAGGGTCTTTATTGACTTCTTCCTCATTTGCATCTTAGCTCAGAGATGTCTTTTCATGGTATTACAAGAGAAACTTGTACTGTAAACACTAAGATTAATTAAGCCTCTGTAAGGGCCTTTGGTATGGATGAGGGCCCAGGAATCAAAGGTGATATATAGAAAATCACATTAGCAACTTACTTAGATTGCATAACCTGAAAAGACCAGTGGAGATCCGTCTTGGGCTGTGCTTTCAATTATTTTAATGGGAGGTTATGGAACTAGCCCAGCTGGATTCCAGGATTCTGTTGTCTCCAAGCTGTGCTATCTGTGGTACACTACATTTATTGGATCGACTTGTCAGTAACTAATTCTATTTTCCCCTCTTTTTCTGCTCTGTGAACAAATTGTCCTGGGAATGCTCACAGTTGGCCTTGTTTACACCAGGTAAGACCAATTTCCTTTTACTTTGTCTTTCATCAGCTACTGTTACTCAATGAAGCCCTTGGTTCTCTGGAGTATCCCCCTGTTTTCAAATGCTGCTTTCTCTCCAGGGCTATCACAACCTGCTAATGCAACTTCATACCCAACACCTTGCAATCTGCTCTTTTAGTATTGCATCCCACTTTTGTGTTTCTTAAATACTGGGTATTCCCAATTTTGGTAGAATTACTGTAGGCAATTCACAGGAGTTTAGTTTGCAGACTTAAGTGCTGAATGTGTTTCTCTTGGAATATGTAGTGGTTTACATTGTGGCATCATTACAGAAAAGACAGATGAAAGAAGGGTATCTACACTTGGCCTGTGCAGGATTGTTGGTTCTGTTTGTTTCTTCAGATTTTACTTCAGTGCAGCTCTGAATGTGTACGCATCAGCAAGTGGTTCGTACCAGAACAACAGCCAAAATGCAAACTCCACTTTGGAGAGTACTTAGCACTTAATAAAATGTTTTGCTCCATGGCTTTCTGAGAAATTGCTAAAGCCTCTCTGCCTGGCTGCAAATGAGGTTTGCGTGTTGTTGATTATATGGTCTTTTACTAGTTTTCTTATAATTTACTTTCTTTTAGTGGCTAGAGACCAGGCCAAACAGACAAGTGTGTCCTGTATGCAAAGCAGGAATCAGTCGAGATAAAGTTATTCCTCTGTATGGAAGGGGTAGCACTGGGCAACAGGACCCCAGGTAAGAAACCTAAATACAATTGGTTTTGTGTGAAAACTAAAGATGAAACTTTAGTTTAAGGTCTTGAGAAGAGATTGTCAAAATAATGGATTCGCGATGTGAAATACTTCATTAAAAGACATATAGAACTGCCATTTCTGCCAGACATTTCTGGCCTGGGTTTGCACACCTTATTTCTTATTCAGCTGGCAACTTAGTTTAATTTTAATTGGGTGTTAATTATCAGTTACAAGTGGCAGCTTGCAATGAATGTTATCTGACTGGACAAGCTTACCTAAAATGTTCACGTCCTCAGTTTCTAGCCTTTGCAATGGGACCTTGTTATTCAAAATGCAGTATCTTAATTCAGTGATGCGATGCTAAAGGTTCATAAGCTGGGTGGTCTACTCACTCAAACGCTGCCTCCAGCTCTGCTGCAGCATGGCCGGGTGAGCCCATGCCCTATGTTTGTTCTGTTAGCCAGGCTAGTGCAGATACTCTTGGCATGTATTAGCACTTGAGCTAATTTCACAACTTCCCGCAGAGAGAAAACTCCACCACGACCCCAAGGACAGAGACCGGAACCGGAGAACAGAGGGGTATGTGAAAAAACGAGCTCGAGCAGATAAGTTGTTTTTATTGGTGGTGGGATTTATTCGTCTTGGAGGATTAGTCATCCTGTGTGAGGATCCTAAGGCTTACAGTTCTTGCTCATCCTTAATAGCTTGTTCACGAATAATTGATACCTGCAGTGTGGCAGAAAATTCCTATAGTACTCTAGCATCCCAAAGAATGGGCTAACTTGAATTGTGCTTCACGAAAACAGACCTGTGTGGCATCACTGGAAATGCTCTTCATCCCTGATTGTTCTCCATATACAAATACAAGGAACACACTAATTTGAAAATTCTTTGTGGAAGTGTATTTCCATCAGACTATACCTGCCATGGAAATACGTGATCTATGTGTGAACTTACATTTTTGGCACTGACTCCTGCTTCTAGCATTTCTATGGGATGTTACTGTACCATGGCATTACAAGCATAAGAATGCAGCTATCTGTTGGATACATGTTAACAGAAAGAGGGATCTGTGGTTTTGGTGAGATTACATAGCGTGAATGTAAACAGCAGCTGGCATAGGTTGAACAGACGTGGGAGTAGCCAGTAGGACAGACCACTGTGTTCTTCACGATGGCAGTGAGCATGACCTGATGAAACAATTGCATATTTCCGTGTAACCCAGCCTGGGGTCCTTGGGGAGCATTTGTATACTTTGTGCTTCAAGCAAACAACTGCTGGGAGTGATTAAGGAACATTTCTATATTGAATGTATTGGGAACTCTGTTGTTCTTTCTCACTAGGGAGTTGCCTTCTTATTAAATCAGCTGCTATACCTTGTTTGAACCTTTTAGCTGCTGCGGCCGTAAGTCAGAGTAAGCTGGTATGAAGACATAGCAGTGGTGATGCTGCCCTCCTGTTTTCTGCCTGCACAGCACCTGCCATGCAGAGTGCTTTGCTATCCCTGGCAAAATGCTTGAGTAGAGTCACAGTCAAAAGACGTAACTCCCCAAGCCAAGCATCAGCCCAGAAATGTCTGGCTTTTCTTATGATCTTAAAGGTCTTTTCCAACCTAGTTGATTCTGTGATTCTGTATGAGTGAAATCACATTTGTCCTCCCACTGTTTGGAGGTGACAGACCAGAGGGTTTTTCAGAATTGCTCTGTTTTAATTCTGAGAGGAGAGGTCAGTGTGCTGGATTACAGAACACGGCAACTCTGAGCTCTCCACAGTTTTTAAACATGACATGACTGCTTAGACTGTTATACAGTTTGCTCTCAAATAGTACACTGCTTGTATACAGTAGGATTCATCTTGATTCAGAAGACTTATCTTTCGTCTTGATGTGGTATTTTAGTCTGGATCCCATAGGGGTCAATGTCGTTGCATTGTAACTCTTCCTTTTTTCCTCCTTTCCTTTTTTATTCCTGCCCCAGATGACTTTATCTGCCACCCTAATTAGAGTGCCCCCGGTAATTTTTTTTTATGGTTACTGTTCCTCTCTATAATGCTCTTTTCATCCTTCTGGCAATATATCACCTCACTGAATGTTTAAATTATGCACATGTACTGTGAAAATCAATGCAGAATATTTTTTTTACAATGCCTTTCTTACAGTTTTATGGCTAATAGCTATTAATACAGATTAATATATTGTTAAGATGTTCTAAATAGAATTGTTAATGTTGATTTTGGTATATTGTTGGATATCTGCTATTTTAAGTTGAGAAACACTAGAGAAATGCTTTTGTTAATTTGTGGCCTTCAAGAAAGAACTGTGGTTCCTGGTTTTCTTTTTCTCAAACTTTTGTGTTGCTCTGGCAAGTTTGATACTGTGTGAAACATTTTAAACCCAGGAGAACTAAGGAGGTATCTAACAATAGTGTGGCAGACTAGTTGCCAGACAGCATGATACTGCCTCAGCCACAGGAAAGCCAGTGAGAGGGAATGTCTGCACTTCTGCAAAACACTCTGAAATAGGCTTTAAATGATTGGTACCTTTTTTCTCTCTGTTGCTTTGTTCTCTGCAGGGATTCCAGGGCTTTGGGTTTGGCGATGGTGGCTTCCAAATGTCATTCGGAATTGGGGCTTTTCCCTTTGGTATATTTGCAACAGCGTTCAACATAAATGATGGGCGACCTCCTCCAGGTACCACGCACCCATCTTCTCCCAGAGTCCTGTCACAAACAGACGTTTGTTACAAACTCCTTTGTAACATTTAAACAAATAGCTTGCTAAATGACAAAACTTTCTGAACAGTAAAGTAAATCAGTATTGTAAATAGAAACGCAAAATGGTTTGCTGAAGGCCCTCCTGAGAGGACAGTAGAACTGGAGAGGGACAGTGGCACTGGAGACTTCTCCCCTTTAATTCAAATGTCTCCTCTGGTACTCCAGCAGATTCCCTCTGAAAAACAAGATAAATTGGACTAGGATTTCTAGTAATAATACTAAAAAGGAGCCAGTAGGGGTGAATGAAGGAGACCCATATTTTGAAAGCAGGAAAGAACAATTTCCTGAAAGACGAGAAGGAAAAATTTAAACTGCTTTAAACTCCTCTGTACCACAAAACAATGCCAGCAAAGTGTGTTCCTTTTCCAGGAATTTATCTCCAAGTCACCTGTATTCCACAAGAAGTAATTTTTCTGGTGAAATGATTTCACTGATTTTAATCAAGAAAAAACAGTCGGGTTACTCTAAGTAGTGGCCTTGCTCTTTAAAAATGAAGCAATCCCCACAAAACCTCCTCCCCATCTGCACTGTAGACAAACTAAGTCTGCCGGTTACGAACAAGAACTTACTGCCCAGGATTTTCTTCTAGTTTGAAGATTTTCTTCCTCAAGCAAATCTTCTTCACCATGTCACATGGTATCAGAACTATGAGAACATTCATGTCACACCTGTGTTGCCAAGGACCTGTGCTGTACTAGGGTCAAATTAACTCGCCTATTAACTATACTTGAGTGTCCACTGAAAATGTGTGCGGAGGTGTGACTGAGCTAAGGAGCATGTAAATATATGCTGTTGTAACAGCCATCATTTAACCAACTCCTTTATCTGCTTTTCAGATGTGGATCCAATACAGCACTTCCAGAAATGCACAGCTTGAGCTTTAGAGCTCGTGTGCTTTACGTTAGTTCTCTTTGTCAAGGCACCATACGCAGCTTTGACTGTTTTACCATTCCCTTATTCAGAGATGTTTCACATTGATGGGGAGGAGCGCTCAAGCAGAGGTGGTAAAGTTCCTTAGGCTGGAAACAGTGGACTTGGCTAGCTGTGAGCAGTGAACTGAGCAGTGAATTTGGCTCAGCACTGTCCCCAGAAGTACTCTGAGCAGAGCTGCATGTACTGGAGCACTGGAGCTGCCTGCTGCTGTTAGTCATGAGCAGGTTTACCACAAGTCCTGCTCCAGGGAGCTGATGTTTGTCTTCCTTCTGATCTTCCAGTATGGCTGGCCAGTCTGAAATAGCAACGGTTTCTCACCAAGTAGATTCCTTGCATATCTTTCAGTTTATGAATATACTATGTTCAGAATATACACAAAGAGGAGGAAGGAGTTGAACTGTTCTTTTTTCCTTTCTGTTTTCCAGCTGTTCCAGGGACTCCTCAATATGTGGATGAGCAGTTCCTATCCCGCCTCTTCCTGTTTGTGGCTCTGGTGATAATGTTCTGGCTGTTGATTGCATAATTTTTTTCCATTATTCTATATATTCATGGCCAACAAGGCACCTGAAACAGTTACAAACTGCATCCCCATCCCATTTTAAATCTCTTGGTGTCTGGTTCCATAGCTAACTATGGGCTTCAGGAATTGGTGGTACTACAGGACAATGAGGAATCTCGCATTTTGCACCAGAGTTGGAAATTAAACATTGGTTAAAAAGCATATTTCAGCTCAGTTGTCGTGTACAACAGGTTACTGCCACAAACCACGGGCCTAGCTTTGAGCTCCACTCCTAAAAGGAGTGCTGCTTTGAAATCCTGTGCCAATCAGTGACACCAGGTTTATGTGAAAGACAGTCACCCCAAAGTAGGCTGGGCAGGTAAGGAAACCTCTGCAGTGTGACCAGTATCTCATGCTTGGATCTGCCTGAGCTGTGGATGTTATTTAATGTCTTCAAATCAACATCCAGCCTTCTTCAGGAAATCATCTGCAGCACTGCTAAGACTCTTCGGGCGCAGCACGTGATGCAAATGGAACCAGGCTTGGAACCTGGTTTCTTTTCTTGCTGTTATTTCCCAGTGTGATGGGAAACCCCTCCTGAAGAGGTTCTGATGGCTGTTAGAAGAAGGGATACAAATTTATGCTGCAATTTCTTAAAGCCTGAATTTGCTGGAGCCAGACACTGGAAGATTCTTTCATCGTGGAGCTGGGTGGGGTTGCTGAACAGTCCGAGGAACCTGTCTGCCTCACCCAGCCCAGTTCCTCACTGACAAAACAGTGTTGTCTTCCTTGGTTCTCTGCGCAGCAGCCTGTGGCTGCACTCCTGGATAATCCCCTCACAACCCTGTCACTGTAGCTACGTTTATTCTCCCAAGGCTTTGAGACTTTCTACTCAAGATTGTGTACTCCAAATAAAATCCTATTACAGATCTGAGATCAGCGTGTTTGGGGAGAGGAACAAAAGGTATGTTTATGTGAGTTCTGAGGTTAAACTTTTCATACTGTAAAATCACACAGGAGGAAGAATGAGATCCTGCTTTTGCTTGCACATGCTGCAGTAGGGAACGTTTGGAAGAGCTTTTCTCTACAGGTGTGTACAGCTACTCCATGCCACAGCAGAATGGCTGTAGCGCACGAGTCTCTGCAGTATCTACCAAAGAAATTAACCTGAAGTGCTGGAGGAGACCACAACTATTTCTGTGCTGAGGGGAGAATACTTCAGAAGGTGAGCACTTGGTAGCTGTTTTGGAATCCTGTTGGTACACAGCTTTAGGGAGTACTCCTGATGTATTTGTGTCGATTCTTTCAGAACAGCAGATAGGAGAGATTCCCTGGCAAGATGAACAGTTTTCATATTTCTCTGAAAATTTTCCATTTTTTGCTCCTATTTTTAGGTTATTTTGATTCAGATTGCTCACAGTCATAATTATTTCCTGCAAGATGAATATTGTGACATTCCTGGCAATAGACAGACAAGTGACAGAACAAAACTTGTAGAAACTTTGTTTCAATCGCTAAGGTTTTTCTAGTGGATGGATGAGGTTCCTGGGCAGGACGCCTTAATTAATTGTTGTAGAAGCTTATTTATGTCATTATAAACTGTTCACTTTTAGTATTGAGACAGAGGATGTCTGCAGTTTAACTTGCCTACCTCCAAAATTCCATCTGGCAAGTGGAATGTTGCAAAGCTTCAGTGGTGTTTTGCCACATCTTGTCAAATTCATACCTGACTCGATAGTCTGGCAGAATATGTTGCTCAACTATGAACAGTGCCTCAACCTCGGTGGTGCGGCACTTCTGAGAAGTTTAACTACTTGTGCATACGCTTCTTCGCAAGTGCGTAACTTGGTAACTGGGACCCTTTCTGGGAGACAGGCTGTTCTGTGCTGGCGGCAGTACAACCCCGCGGGTTTGACCTTCTTTCCTGAGCAGGCAGCACCCCCTGCTGATGAAAATGGGAAGTTCATGTGGCAGTAAAAGGGATGGTTTTCCTTTTTCTGTTGAGAAATGATGCTACCAGCAGAGGTTAGCCAGGGAGGAGCAGCCCCTTTAAAGCCTTTCTCCGAGAAAGTGGACAGAAAAGCAACTGTAATAGGTTCAAGAGGTACTGAAACCGATTTAACTAACACTAATGTTTAATAAAACAGGATTTTAACGGTTTGGGTTTTTTTTTTTTCCATCTATTGGTGAGAGACACAATGGATTTAGACAGAGGTGGCTACAGAAATACGACTGAGAGTCCTTATTTTCTGGCAATCCAATAATGAAATAGTCTGAAAGTGTTAACGCTTTTGTTCCTACCGTTTCTCTGGTGTGCTTTTTGTATCGTACCACTTCCCCCATCGTACTCAGACTGCACACAGCCCAGAATGGCTCGTCTCGTGCATTACCATTGCTGTTCACTAATTTTCACTGTTGTGAAAGTGATTTAGAATTAAAAAATGGTTTTACATTGACCGGACTGCGCCGCCGTTCCTTTGTGCTTTGCGGACGGACTGAGGGGAG